TATATATATATATATATATATCTGCTTCTTCCTTTCATTTTGACACTAATAACTCACTCCAAAATGTATATTTAAGGCCAGAGTTCTTTAATATTTCCAATGAGAGATCAATGACTGAAAAACATTCCTGTAACTTCATGAGACCAATTTTAGCCTGGTTTTTATATGTTGACAGCAAAAGAATAATGTTGAAGCAAGATAGCAAAGCAAATATTCAAGCAAACCTAATCAAGCCAGCAGCTACCACCACGAGGATTTCTCTGAAACATCTCTATATAAAAAATTTATATTTCTTACATATTTCTAGAACACATCAAGATTCAAACAGATTCTAAATCCATATTTCACATTCTCCCCTTTTCTGGTCACATGGTGCCAATAAGGAGACATCAACCTAATTTTATAAAAACAACCTGCTGGTCCTTTGGATTTGCTAAATTCTCAACATATGCCTCAATTGAGATTAAACCAACAACAAAATCTATAAATAGTAAGGCACACTCAACAATGAACATGCAATTTGTGAATTCAGAGGCATGCATGCAACATGAAGCCAAATAAGTCATCATAGCAAAAATTTGGCATCAAGAGCACACGGTGATTCTATTATGATTACCTAAGAAAATTCATCTGCCAACTTCATATTTGCAAAGTTTGATATGAAATTTACATAATACACTTCTATGCGACAACTCGGTAAAATAAGGATCCAATCTCTTGCTAATGATCGTAAACAAACAAAAGTTATAAAACATATTTCAGTCAATTCATGCACCTATGAGCATCTAAAAAGTATAGTGATCATATATTTTCATAAAAGAATGTCCAGCCATCCCAAGTGCATGGTCTAAGAATTTGACCTCTCATGCTTGCCTGGACGTACTTAGATAGTCTTAAATTTCAGTTGTTTCTTGGTAGCTTATGCCGTTTGATTTCACACAAAAAGAAACACAACTCATATGAGCACCAAATGAACATGATCAGGAAAGAAAGATTAAACAGCTCCACAGCCTGACGTTTCCTTTTTTTAATTTAATTGCTTGGTGTATCTTTTATTGGTTTTCTTTTCTTAAAATTCTTCTTAGTTCCATGTATGTTTGCACTATTAAAATAGGATATAATACAAACATGGCCTACTGAATTGCTTCATAAAGTACACAAGGGATTTCTCAATATGGCTTTAAAAGGCATATTGACCACAATTTAGCCAGCCAGATATTAAGACATCATTATTCCATCCATAATACCTTAAAAAATATATAACTTACCCAAGTTTAAGAAGAATCTGTTTGTTTATAGCAACATATACAGTTATTAGTGAGCTCCATAATTTAAGGGTCAGAGCCCAACTGCTCAAGGCTTGAACTAATCATTTGACTACAATTTTGAAAAATATTCAGGGAAGCCACGTCTTGGTGCTCAATATGAATGTTTCCTTCAGAAAAGATGAACAAATAAAGTAAAACTGCCAGATTTACACCCTTTCAAGTAATACTTTTCCATCATTAATGTGTTATAAGGGTGAGTGATGGCATCGTTATATATAATATAATTGGTAAACTGCTACATAAACATTATGGCAGTGCAATTTGGGTTTGTTCAAATTCAGAAAACACACTATATCTATCAAAAGAGAATAATCATCATATACTTTCCAATTGGTAAAATGGAAAGAAATTATAACCTTTAAAGAAAAGTGAATTTACATGATGAAAACAAGCAAACAAACGAACCTATTGGGATTAAGATAGCTACAACTCTGCAGTACCCCTGGAATCTCCTCATTGACATGGAAGTATATGCTGCAATGCCTTCATATGTCACAATGTAGACCATTGCATAAAAAAGAAGCAACCCATCCATCATAGAATCACCAACTGTAAGAAACCAGCTAGTAGAGGCCTAGAGAAGGAAATTATCTATCATGTGGAAAACCACATCAGCACCATCAGAATTCAACCAATACGACTTCACCTGAATAAATGAGCAAGATGATGAAAAAAATGAGAAAAGCAATAAACAAATCAAGTATTACTGGGTGGCAATTAATTTTAATCCAAACCACTACATTTTCATTACTATAGAAGAACTAACAATCAAATTGTAACTGCCCAAAAATTGATTTGAGGACCATTGGCTAAGCCAACATTATATATGCTGAACTTGCCAACACATGGCTGCCCTCAAGCCTTGAAAGCAGCTGCTCCATGCAAAAATACTGATGGATTGGTCTGTCTCCAAATTCTGCCCAGATCACATGCTGGGGGTACCATTCTAGAAAACAATATGAATATATACCTAATGGCGACTGTTAAATTTACTAGCAACTGAACCACTAAAAATCCTTGGGCTTGTAACAAAATATACTAATGAAGTTTTAAAATTTGGATTAAAATGTGGAACAAAAAAAATATAAACTACACCTTCCATCCAAGTTTCCTATTAATGTCATTTTTTTTGGCTATTTAAGGTTATTTTAAGAAAATGCAATGGCCAAGCTTCACTCATCTTAATAAGGCTTTCCTGAAAGGACAGCATGAACTACTATATCAGACTTGTTATGTGTTTAACAATAAGAGAGATAGAACTGAAAAACAATTCCTCATAACATCTTCTATCTCTTGCTATTTTGATGAATTTTACCACGTCCTATCATAATTGGAACAGATTGTCAAGCCTATACCTAAGCTAATTGCATAACAGCATAGCCTATATTTTTCTAGGCATTTTAACAACCATCAAGGGGGTTCATTTGAAAAAAGACCAGTCATATTTATTTAGAAACCCACTTCCAGACAAGTTGCAAAGTTGACCTTAATTGTGCAAGTTTTCGTTATTTACCCATCTGAGATAGAGATATTTTATTTTCATTAATCACAAGTATTGTGAAAAGCAATAAGACTGTCTAAGAAGATCTGCAGAAGAAGAGAAAATACTGCAGAGGATATGGAAGAACCAATCAGCTTTTGAACTTGCCTGAATGGTATTGTGAGCAATATACCGTTGTTTGCTTTTATGAAAGCTAACATCTACACGTTCCCAAGGTACTTGAGTCAGTCCTTTGATCATCTCTTCTACATATTGAAAGAGAGGATACTCATGAAAAAAAGAAGCATGACAAAAAATAAAAATAAATATATAAACAAATTAAGAAAAAGGGTATGGAAATCAAACCCAGTCATCAGAGAAATAATGAGCAAGCACAAAGAAACCAACTTTAAGTACCAAGTTCCAAGCCTAGAAAACAATAAAATGTTTCTCTCGCTCCAAGTAACATTTGAAAAATAGAGAAAGAAAGAAGTTTGACCAACCTTCTAAATCAGTTGTTTTCTCTCCAACAACAAGAGTTTTTTTATCAGAATTGTGGTCCACTCTTTCTCTCTCCACATAAACAATATGTGGATATTTATTATCTGTCACAAGAAGATTGGACTGGAGATGAAGATGGAAAAAACATTTGAATTAGTTTCATCAAAGAAAGAAAGAAACGGAAAAGGAAATGCATCTCTAAATAGAAATCTGGCAAATAAAGCTGAATTAAGGGGAAAAAACACCTTGGGAAGTTCATTTTGACGCCTAATTGATGATGTTCCCTATCCAGCTATATCTAATACAAGTTAAGGCAAATGTACTCTGGCATAAAGGTAGAGATGAGACCACAGATATGGAAGGCATCCATAATTCAAAGGCAAATTTGAGTGAGAAAAAGGATACGATCATAATTTGCATTTGCATATACCACACGACGCTTGAATGCACGTAAAGCTGATCTACACATCATAAACAATGTTACCAGATATTTATCCATGAATAGACTGATGGGTTACCTATTAAAAATAGTGTGATAGATATACTTACATGAATCTTAAGCCATCAGAATCATTAACCATTTGAAGGAGAAGAGGTATCCCATTATCATTGTCTGTTAGGAACAGATGCTTTCCTGTCCTTCCAACTATTAAATGAGCAGTCTGAGATGCTCTTCTCTCAAGGAAAGGAAGACCACAGAGAATAGGGAGCTGTAGAATCAAGACAAGAAATGCATAAAAATACATAAAAAGCACGGTACCAGAAATACATTATCCGAAAGGTCTCTAGAAAACTAGAATAGAAGTAACGAATCACTTAAGGTTCTCAAAAAGAACGGTATTAGTATTAAGAATCTATGTTGCTCATCATATATTGGTCATACGAGAACATCAACCTCCAATCACATATTAAGATTTCTAACAGCATCCTAACCATGCTAAAGTGTTTTGAATAGGATCATTTCATTCCAAAATCCCTTTCTGCATTGAAAACTCCAGGACCTATTAACCAATAACCCTAAACATTCTAAACAATTACGGAAGGAAAAAAAGATCAAAGATAATTGATTAAAATTCAAGTAAATTAATAGAAGAATTCAACATAGAAATCCAAGAATCAAGAAGATGATTAATGCATGTGGGTTGAACATAATGACAAAGCAAGCAGAAGTATTGTTCTCTTAACCTGTTTATTTCCCCTTGAACCAAGATGAGGTGTTGCAAATGTTATGAAGTTCACAGGTTCCAATCCAGCAATTCTAGCTTCACATGGCTGCTCAAGACAGTGCATTGAATTTGTGTGCTCTTCATCCAAGGAATTTTTAGTGAGATTTGAAAGGGCTGATTTAGGTAAATTTTCATACAGCCTGGCTACAGCATATCTTGCAACAAGTCCACCTAGTGAGTGAGCCACAAAAGAAATTTTCCGCACCTCAGGTCTGTGTCTAACAACTGCCAATACCTACATTAGATATTTCACCAAGAACTCAAGATTCACATGAAATGGCTTATGGATATCTTCTGACACAACAGATTGTTTAAACAAAATTACCCTGAACTAAAATCTGACTTCCAAACATACCTCTTCAGCTAGCCTGTCACCCATCAAATCAACACCATCAAATGTCAATTTTGAATGGTTGCACTCACTGCCTGCTTATAAGAATATCAAGTCAAAAACCGAAAACATTGACAAAGAAATAACCATGGAGTACAAATTGAAATTAAAATAAAAAACCATATGGAATCATTCTAGGCATCATAAGTTTACGTAAATATCGCTAGGGGTGTTAAAAAAACAGACGAACCAATTAAACGTAAAAACCAGGAAAAATTAACCAAAAACACTGATTTGATAGAAAAACCGATCAAACCGATATAAAAATCAAGTAACAGACTTAGTCCGGTCTGGTTTTGGTTTTAGAAATTGAAACCAGGTAACCGAACTGGACCCAATGTTTGAGAAAGGCTTAAACCCACTTAAAAGAAAGGGGGTATAAAAAGAAAAGTATGCTACCTCAGTTTCCTAACTCTAAAAATTCCACCCCCACCCCCCCTCTCCCACTGAAAACAGCAGTCAGCAGCCATCTCGTTCCATCCTTTTCTCTTCCATCTCCTCCCTCTATGTTAACCCCCCCTTCTTGTTCTCCCCCTCTTGATACAACATCTCAATCGGTCGTCTCCCCCTGCCTTCTCTATCACTCATCGGTCGTCTCCCCCTGCCTTCTCTATCATTCCTTCTTTTCATCGAAGGCCCACTCTGAACACGCCAGAATCTGGCTTTGTAGGGTAAGATTTCTTCTTCTTTTTTCTCCGAGGTATTTAAGAAACTGTGGATACTTTCATGCCTCAGGCATAAGTAATTGATAGAATTTGATATGGACTTTTTACCAAAAGAAAGAAAGACGGTTTTTGCTTTCTGTTTTAATTTTCACTTTTATAGCAGGATTGATTTTACCTAAAGTCTGACTGTTTCCTAAGAAAATTTCTTTCATGAGATGAAGCACAAGTTATTGATAGATTTTGCAACAATTTGTTAAGACTCACATCAACAGATCTGCAATGAACTGCAGTTTCTGTTTTTCTTTGTTTATTTTGTCAAAAAAAAGAAAAAATAAAATTATTTTGCTTGATTTTCTCGTCAACAAAACAAAGCAGACACGGTAACCCATTTTGATTTATCTACTACGAAGAAGCTTCTTTTGCTTTGAAGAGATTAGATTTTCTGGTTTCAAGCCAAAAAACTGAACTTGACCAAACCAAACCAGTTCCGTTTGAACCGGTTATCAGTTCGGTTCAGTCCATTTTCTAGCAAAAATTCATCTCCCAGTTCAGTTGGAATTTTGGCCCAAACCAGACCATGAACACCCCTAAATATCACAATTTAGAAAGCTATGAAACAAACATTTTACAACATATCAAAATTGGGATAACTAACTTTGGCTTTCACGCACAAAAACCAGGTTAGCATCAATGAATTGGAATGTTGCAATTTCTTTGAACTCAGACCACCCATAAGCAGATCATCATACCAGAATACAAGTATCTTCTAAAATGCAAAAAATTAAGCTATTATATGTGGCTTCTTCAATCAGAACATGAAGAACCACCATCAAATGAATGACAGATGGGGTCATAAGCAAGCACTTACGATGCACAAGTATTTTGTCAGGAAGTTTTTTCACAAACTGATCTGCCGCATATCTCCAATCTGCAGAACTGTACCCACAAAAATGAAAAACAAAAATCCAACAGTAAACTTTGTTTTCTCAGAGTTCATAACCAACCTACGAACAGTATTAAACCAGAAACACTAAATTGGAATCAAATTTATAGCTCAGTACTGGCGAGACCCACAATGCAAAATAATTCAAAAATTCTAGTAAACAAGCTTAGAAGGACGCTAGCTAGCTAAAGTCTTCTTCCCTACTGATAACAATATAGACTAAAATAACTTATTTTTCTATTTGCAGAGTGACCGAAGGACGCTAGCTAGCTATAGTCTTCTTCTCTGCTGTTTATAATATAGACTACACTAATTTATTTTCTATTTGCAGAGGGACCTCATGATTTGTTCATCAAAATAGAAATAGAAATTCATCATATCTTTTGGATTTTGCATGGAGCACTTAAAAAAGAATAACACGATAATTAATGATGGTAATCCAAAAATTTAAAAAAAAACGAGTAAAATTATTGTTACCTCCCAATAATACCATTAACCATGATAACAAGATGCTGAGGCGAAACCCTAGTCTCTGCAACAGCTGCATCCATAAAATCCTCACCGCCACTATCAACCTCCACCTTGAGTACTTTACTGTCAGTTCTCTTATTAAAACACATGAAATTCATCCTCTTCCGTATCCAATCCATTTTGGCCGGATCCGCTCCTGAATGGAGAGGAAAGGAGAAAGGGTTGGTGGTGTGAATGAAAACGGCAGTGTGTTTGGGTGGAGAGAGTGGAGAGACGGCGGCGATCATGCGGGGCAAAGAATCATCGAAGAAAACAAAAAGGAGAGATAGAAGCGATTAAGCGAAGAAGAGTATTAGGAGTAGAAGGAAGGATGGAATGTGAAAAATGTGGAGAGAGGGGGGGGTGGGGGAATGTTTGGAGTGAAATGTGCTATCATCGATCTATCAATTTATGTAAAAGTGGTCAGAAAACGGGTTTTTCGGTTTTCACCATCATACTGGTGAA